AGATAACTTGTTTTATCTTTTAAATAAACTTGTTTGAAATAAAATTTTATATTTATATAATTTGCCAATCTTTGTTTTTACAACCTTTTTACTAAGTGAAAAATAGAGTTAAAGTTATAAAAATATAAGAAAAAATTTTTTTTATTTCTTAAACTATAGGTTTTAGTAAACAAATTTGTTCACTAAAATAATTAGACAAAGTAAAATATACTATCTGTTTTAGTAAACAAATTTGTTTACTAAAATAATTAGACAAAGTAAATATTAAAAAAAAAATTTTTTATAAAGATCTTGATTCCAACCAACTATGATAACTTCTAAAAATCAAAAAAGTTCACAGTAACTCTTTCTGACAATTACTTGGACCAAATTTTCTGACAAAAAGAAAAATCTATTTTCAATACTAGAGAGTAGTAACCTGTAGTAAAGTGAATCAACAGGCGGTTTTTATAAAGGTCAACTTTTTTTAAGTTCAGGGACTCCTTTATATATTCGATATGCAAACCAAAAGCATCTGTATACAAGATAACTGGCAGAAGATGGTGCCCTCGTATACGAAATTTTGGTGGTTAGGTGGAGATGATACAGTCCAAGCCTTCTGTCGATAAAGCTATTGGTTGCAAAACAACTGGGGAACAGTAAAGAACGAGTTTCTTTTAAGCCGTACTCTTTCTTTTTGGCCAAGTGGTGCCTACTATTTTTTTTCTGCTTCCCTGCCTTTCTTCCAAAATTTTTCAACAAAAAGTGGAGTTTTGGCTTACCCCCTCCAAAAGATCGGCATTGTTTACTTTCTAAATTCAGACAACCTAATAAATTGCAACCACATGTTTTATGGATATAGCACGTTAAAATTGGGCCCCTGGCATAGAACCCCTAAGAATGGCAGCAGGTGGCTTGAGATACGAGTCTACAGATGGCGGCAGCATCTGGCTTGAGATACGAATTAAGACAGGCATGACATAATTATTCGGAGTCGGTGGAAAGCTCGAAAAGAAAAATTGAACGTTAAGGCGAAGCTTTACAACAGAGATATACAAATGTTGTATTTGTTATATAATTTTTATATTTACCTGGCACAGGTTATAATAGTGTATTTAGGTGTGTCCATCAGGACTATCCTATTCTTTTTTTCTACTTTTTTTATTTCTTTTCTATTATGTTAGAATTCTGTTTAGGATTTATTTTTTTTAGTTATGTTTTTTTTCTTTTCTTTTTTCTGTTTTTCTTTTTCTTTTCCTAAATATAGTCTTTATTTTCGTAAATGTGGCATATTTTTTGTTTCTTATAGAAAAGTAAGAGATCAACTATTCTGCCCGAATCTAGGTGAAAAAAGTTTTAAAGAAGGAATAGATAGTCTTGATGGGCTGGTAGAAACCTTCTAGTAAAGTTTTATTTTTCTTCAAGTGCAGAAGTAGATATTACGGAGAAAAATTTTGCCTATAGCAGATCATACATGGGTAATTTGAACTTTGGTCACAAAGAGCTGGGTAAACTAATACTTGTAATTTAGGCATCATTTAAACTTGTCCTTTAGAGTCTTGTTTTTTGAAAATTTGCAATATTTCTTAGTATAATATTCCAAGCCTAATAAAGTAAAGGCAAGATTGCTGAATTGTTTCAAAGATAACTTCCAAAGATCTAAACTACATATTACACTCAATTAGTGTTTCGATCCTATTATTACAAGTGGAATAGCCTTCTTAATTTACCATCTGCAATATAGCACACAGTGACAGAGATCTCTAAAACAACAGGACAAGATATGAAGTGGTGTGGAAGTAGAATGTTTCCTTACTAGAGCAGTTAGTATATTCATTAAAAGTATAGAGACATGGTTTACTTTAGAACAAAGATATGTTTATTTATTTATAATACAATGCTTAGATACTAAGCTATCTTTATAGGTATCTATTCCTATAGAATCCTAATATTTTAGAACATTGCAGGGAACAAATCCTTCTATACAAGAAAGGATAAAAGCTAGAGTTTATATAGCTTTTATAATATGTATAAAAGGTATAAAAAGTACTAAATATATAAAAGGTATAAAGGATATAAAAAGTACAAAAGGTATAAAAAGTATAAAAGGTATAAAAGGTATGAAAAGTACAAAAGGTATGAAAGGTACAAAAGGTATTATCTAGCTAACCAATAGTCCGTTTGTTATATATTATAGCTTGTTTTGATTGTTACAATCTTCTGAATCTAATATAAATGAAATCTCTAATATGTTCTATAATGTCAACACATTCTATAATACTATTTTTAAAAGGCCATTCGGATTGAATTCGGATTCTATTTTGTATATTTGAATAATAATCTGAATCTGAGCAAATCTGGATTTAATTATTAAATTCAAATTCTATATAGTCAAATCTGATAAAAAATTAATCTGCCAAGTCAGTTTCCATTATATAAATTTAATAGTTTATAATATTTTCAAATCTGATAACCTCACAATGCTAATACAAAATTGGTTACTATATATATTGGTTTTAAGAGGTTTAACAGTATAATAGAAACAGACTTGGTAGATAAATTTTATCAGATTTGATAGATATAGGTTTTGACAAAATTTTTTTTGAGAGGTTCAACAGTAGTGTAGCAAAGTAAATAATCATTAAATTCAAATCATAATTAATTAATAAAAACTCATGTTATCTAATTGGGCTAAAATGAAGTAGAGATAGATTTGACTATGAATGGCTATGATTATTTATAACCAATTTGCTAAATACTAAGATGATTTTTTGTTCTTAAGCTTTTAATTAAAGTTGTTCAGAATTAAATTCTGTTCATCCCATCTTAAAAGTAGAAATAACAGTATCTTCTTTGAAACTCGAAATTTTAAGATTTGTTAATGTCATAGCCGACTACTAACTATAGCTAATAGTCAGCTACAATGTTAACAAATCTTAAAATTCTAAATTTCAGAGAAAGTATTATTCTTTCTACTTCAAGATATGATAAACAGAATTTAATTCTAAACATCTTTAATTAAAAGCTCAAGAACAAAAAATCATTTTAGTATTTAGCAAATTGGCTATAAATAATTATAGCTGTTCGTAGTTGAACCTATTTCTAGAACAAAGTGAAAAGCCTTGCTGGCTTATATTAACTTACAACTAACTTATAAATTTAACTGCTATCTAGCATTTCGCTTTAGTTAGATTACTACAATCACTATATTTATATGCTTGCCGTCAAGATATTTAGGATTATAATCTGAATAATCCTTATCTTTAACCGATATGTTTTATGGATTTATCCATCTAAAATTAATAGATATAGATATCTGTATTTAATCCAAATTGTCGAATTCATCCGAATTATTCAGATTATGGATTGAAACACTATACTCAATAGCTACAGTATAGCATACTTGAAATAATTCAAACAAAGAGTATAAGTTCGCACAATAGCTTCAAAGTATACCATTTTACCTGAACTTTTGAATTATATTATCTTCCTCACATTGGTTGAAAAATCAACTTTGTGAAGTTGTTCATAAAGAATCTTTGACCAACTTTAATATTATATTATAAAAAGTACCTTCATGCAGTGTTGTATATAGAACATGTTCATACTATATCCAATGTCCAATATCCAAAATTGTCCAAAATTATCCAAGCCTATGTTCCAAGTTTAAATAATCAATAAAATAATTTAAAAAAATATATAATTATATATTTTTTTAGATGCTGGACTTATTTATGAAAAAATTAAAATAGATTATTTTAATAACATTTTGAGTAATTTTAATTTGAAAAAATGTCCAAAATTATTTCATATACAACACTGCCTCTATGTGATGATTATGAAAAACTTTCATAATTGTTACATAATAGCATCTTTTTTACTATTAAATTTGATTGTAAAGACTATATAATGATTAACCCTATTTGGTTAATTTTTAAAACATTGTTAAAGAAATTTCACAAAATAAGAATTACATAACATTTAGCATGTTGTATACTTTTATTTTAGCTTAAAGAATATAGAAATGTGTCTTAATAAGATTTAAGGCAATTGTAAAAAACAAAAAACATTTTAGCAAACAAATTTGTTTGCTAGATAGTTTAAAGGATAGCACATATAGCAAAAAAGATTGAAAAGGGTTAACAAGCTATTTGTCAAATAATTGCATTGTTAAATAACCTTATCACTATCTTCATTTTTCTTTTAGTAAAAGGTTCAAAAAAACAAAAATCAACAAATTATATAAATGTAAAATTTTATGCCAAACAACTTTACTTAAAAGATAAAAACAGATTACCTAAGTAAAAAAAAGTTTACTATATGGGGAGAAGTCAATAGAATCCAGGCAAATTGTTTCTAAGTAAATTTTTTTTAAACTTTAAATTAAAATATCTCAACAACTATTAAACCAAACTTAATAAAATTTTTTTTATTTTAATTCTATTTAGTTATAGAATTAAAATAAAAAAAAAATTTATCAAGTTTAGTTTAATAGTTGTTAAGATATTTTAATTTAAAGTTTTAAAAAAACTTACTAAAAACAATTTGCTTGGATTCTATTGACTCCCCCCTATATTATGATACTTTAACTCAAATTGCTCTTTGCTACAACTATTTCACATACAATAAAACTCATTAACAAACTGTTTCATCGCATCACCTCTGAGCTTGGCTTTTGCTTTTTTTTTTATATTTTTAAGAAGATGATAAATACATAACATATGACGTGTCTGTGGATAAGACAAATGAACTGCAGCACTCATTGCTATATCACCATCAGTAAACAACACCTTAGGCTAAAGATTATTAGTTGCTTTTAATGTACACTGTAAAATCCAATTGTAATCAGCCTGAGTCTCATATTTAATCAAGGCTTGAGCGATGACTTATGTCTTAAAGTTGTTATCCACACCTACAAACAAACTGAGAGCCATCCCATATCTATTGGTCTTTGCCATATTATTATGAATCACGATATCATGGAATCTTGTCCAAAGGTTATTACATTGTTGACTAGTCATCTAAAAGAAACCAGTAAGTTTATTAGATAGACCCTCAAGCCATGGTATAACTATATAATCGGGATCAAGATCACGTTGCTGTAAAAGGTATGAAAGCATTGTACTTGCATCAGATTCATCATGTACTCATATACCTCTAAACTTCTGGATTGCATTATACAAGTTCTTTTTTTTTATATAATGTTGAGGGAACTCTTTAACTATGAGATCATATTGCTGACCGGCACCTAAACAACTATTTGTAGTGTAGTGTTCAACCTTGTCCAAAATTTCTTGTAGGAGGCATAAATTTTTTGGTGCCAATTCAATTGTTGATATATCACAGATATGATTATGCTCATTATCAAATTTAGTAAATCATACTTTCTTCTTATTCTTTCCAAAATAAAAACCAACCTCCTATTTATAATTTGTTCTACTTGAACTACTGTTACAGAGTAAAGCCTTTTTAATTTACTCTATAACAACGACATGGCACAGGGAATCCTTTCGTAGGTATATGCGGTGTCCAAGAGGTAAGTATAGCTTCTTTTCTCTTTAAGA